ATTGTGGGCCTGCCCACTAAATCTATGACCATTCGGATAAAAAAGGGGGTCTTCCCAGGACGGAGATGGAAACGAGGAGGGAGGAGACACGAAGCCGAAGAGAGCGCTACATGTGTCCGCTCACCTGAAAGTCGCGTCGTTTCTGACACTTGGCGGTAAAGAGGGAACTCGCTCGGCCTGCGTAGCCAGGATTTCGAGTTGCATTTTTTCCACTAGCACCACGCACTCTTTCGCACATGTCGGGCGCGGGGTGCCGACTCCTTCGCGGGATTGCGAGCTGCGTCTCTCCCACGAACAGCACGCATTCTTTCGCACATGTCTTGCGCGGGGTGCCGAATCCTTCAGCGGGTTTTCGAGCTGCGTCTCTTCCACTTACACCAAGCCCTCTTGCGCAAATGTATGGCGCGGGGTGCCGAATCCTTCGCGGGATTGCGAACTGCATCTGTCCCACCAACACCATGCATGTGTTCGCAAATGATTGGCGCGGGGTGCCGAATCCTACATCCCCAGGCCGAAAGTTGCTTCCTCTTTGATTGAATATATGAGAAACGCCGGTGGATCCAATTCGATATTTTCGGGTGCGCGACAGCGTCATTAATTATATGTCTGTCTTTCGCGGGTCTAATGCTATTTGCCTCCTGGAAAAAGAAACTGAACAACAAATCGATGGATCACATTGGATCCTTATTTTTTTCGGGTTTGCGGCAGCGTCATGGATCCTATTTCTGTATTGCGCGGATCAAATTCGCCGTGTGTGCACCGACCATGGATCCGTCTTTCTTCCGACAGTAACGGTATCATGCTTTCAACAGCTCAGACCCAAGGGAAATTGGATCCGCGGGGCACCGCACGTGAAACATCTTGCTATCCACGGAAGTGTGGGCCTGCTCACCACAGCCATGACTGTTCGGGGGAAGGGGGGGCCTTCCTAGGACGGAGAGGAAAGGAGGAGGGAGGAGGCACGAAGCCGAAGAGAGCGCTACATTTGTCCGCTCACCTGAACGGCACGTTGTTTCCGACACTTGGCGTTCAAGAGGAAAATCTTTCGGCTTGCATGAGCGGAAGGAAAGTCGTTCGGCTTGCGTAAGCGGGATTTCGAGTTGCGCTCTTTCCACTTACGCCATGCACTCTTTCGTACATGTTTGGCGCGGGGTGCCGGATCCTTCAGGGGATTGCGATTTGTGTTTCTCCCACTAGCGCCATGCATTATTTCGCACATGTTTGTCGTGGGGGTGCCGAATCCTTCATCCCCAGGCCGACAGTGTTTTCCTCTCGGACGGAGCATATGACAACACTGATGGATCCTAGTTCTGTCTTGCGCGGATCCAATTTCCCGTGAGTGAGCATCAAATGGGTCCGTTTTTCTTTTCTTTGAACATATCTATATAGATAGCAACATAACATAAAATTATCAGCCCGGACCCAGGGAACATGGGACCCGCGGGGCACCGCACGTAAATCATCATGCTATCCACGGAAGCGTGGACCTGCTCAATAAAATCGTTATTTCACGGTTAAAGGAAGGGTCTTCTTAGGACGGAGAGGGAAAGGAGGAGGGAAAAGGCACGAAGCCGAAGAACGCGTTACATGTATCCGCTCACCTGAACGGCACGTCGTTTCTGACATTTCGGGCTCAAGGGGGACGTCTTTCGGCTTGCGTACGCATCTTCCACGTGCCGTCGTGGGGCCACCTGGGGCGGTCTTGGCGGCCTCCAGGGCCAACCCGAGGTCATCCGGGGCCGTTCTGAAACTTTCTCGGGGCCCAGGGGCAAACCCCGGCTGCAGAGCACCAGCGCGCCAGAGTTTTGGAACCAAGCGGTGCCGATGCCCATTCCCCCATCAGAATTATCCAAGGGCGCGCCCCGACTGCAAGTTCAGGGCGAGCCTTGCCGTGGCGACATGATGCCGCCTAGGAGGCACGACCGAACGATGACTTCAGGGGGGCATCGGCATCGGTACTACGGCTTCCTCAGGGAAGCCACTGCCGGCATGGTCGAGCCCTGCCTGCCCGCTCCTCGTTCTCCTCCCCGTTGTCCTCCTCCTTCCCTCCCCCTTCTCCGCCGCTCCTCCACCCCGTCTTTCCCCCCCCGTGCCCCTCGCCTTTCTCCTCTCTTGTTGCCGGCTCCCACCGCGAGAGGTGTTCGCCGCGCCAGGCCTCTGCGACAAAATCGGAAAACCCAAATAGGGCCGACAAATCTCAGCGACAAAAACAAACGGGCCCGACAAAATGGGCCGCACAAAAAAACGGCCAGGCAAGAACATCGGCGCGGCAAAAAGGCATAGCGTCCCGACAAACTTGTTCCTGATTTCGGACGCATTGTGATTTGACAGGGATGGTGCTTGTGCGGCACTCCCAACGGACACTCTGTCGAGACATTTTCTGCTACATTCCCACCGGGCATGTTGTCGAGACATTCTGGTGGCGCTTGGCGACGAACTCCTGTGACTTCTGGATGATCAGGACTCTCGTGCCGCCAATCCGCCACCTCCACTCCTGCATCGCAGGCGCGCGCAGGAGGCTGCGCGGGCTCGGACACGGCTATCATGAAATCCGCCGCGCCATCGCAACAAGAGGCCTTTGACATGCCTTCGACCATGCGCGTGAGGGGGCAGGGCGGGCGAATCTGTAGCCCTTGCCCAGCAGCTTCTCGCCGTTGGGGAGCAGGACGCGGGGGCCACGGCGAAAGGGAGCTCTAGCACTTTCCCGCCGTGACTCCCATCCCCCCTGTCGCCCTGGCTCTGCATGGCCAGTAATTTTCGAGCCCCCCCCCCGCGTCCAACACCGCGCGCCAGCGGAAACAGAAGATGATTTCGGATGAGGCGGGAAAGCCTCGATGGCATCCTGTGCGAATGCGTAATATTTCTCGCAATCGTGTTCAGCCCACGCGGAGAAGATGTAGTTGTATTTGCGCACCCGTTCGCGCGCCAAAATGGTTGCAGGCGCGATGCCACCAGCTTCCCTGCTTAGGGAAGCCGTGCCGATTACAGGGTTTGAGAGGCATTCCCGCCCAGGCAAACATGGCAGCACAATTGATCGCATCCCAGCCCTGCCCGCGCATTGCCGACCCGCCACCGCTGGCCGTTGCAAGGTTTTTCCCGGGCCGCTTCGGGGCCCTCCTGGGCCGCTTTGGAACCTTATGGCCCTGATTCAGGCCGTCGTCGGGCTTTCTGGAAGGCCCCTCGAGTTGTCGAGGGTTTCCCTGGAAGCCGATTGGGCCGTCTCTGGGCGTCGGAACTTTGAAAAGTACGTTTGGCCATATTTAGCTTTGCACTGCAAGTTAACATCGCGCCAATGTGTCTAGTTCTTTTGCTGCCCCTACCCGCCGCTTCACCCGCGCGTGAATCGTTGCCCGTGCGTGTTGCAAGGGAGCTTCTGCTTAGCGCTACGACTTGTATTTTTGATACGAGTCTCCTTCTACGCAGTCTTGTGTTGCGTTGATGTGCCATTGTTTTCGCTCGTCCCAGTGGCTTCTGAATTTCTCCTGAGCGCATCGCAGCTATCGCTATGCCACGTGTTATTTGCTCAGTGTGCAATATCGTTCGTAGCCCAGGTTCCGTTGTTCTTGCTGTTTCTAATATGACGAAATTGTTTAGTTTGATGATTCGTTGCATTCGTGTTCACACCAACGATATCGATGTTACTTCATCCTGCATACTCTTATAAGCTGGGCAGGAAACGATTGGTCGACACGCATGTCGTCATGCACCTACGGTTGCGTTTGCATCGTCGTTGCGACATGCGTTTACTTTTGAAACGTAGGACATCCGGCAACGCGCCATGTCGCCAAAAGCTTGGCTAGCCAAGCGCCGCGCCTGACGTTTCTCGATATACGCTGGCGCCTGCAGACGCCAGAAGGCGCTGGAGAAATCAATTGCGTGAGCTGATTCGCAAACCCCCTTTTACTACCGCCCCCCTTTCGTCCGATCCGACACTTCCAGCCCTTTGCGTGGAACCAGCTCTTCATCCAGAAAAGTTGTATGACGGCCCCGCGGCCGGGAGACGGTCCCCAGAGGCAGCAAATGGAGGCAGCAAGTGTTCGACGCGGACATCCGTTTTGTCCACTCTTTTTTTGGCCAGCCCATACATCGCGGTGATGAAGATATTTCCACCGTCTACCCCGCAACAGCAGCCGATCTCCCCAAAGGAGGTCCCGACAAATGGGCGCAAACGTGCCCGTGCAATGACCCCTTTGCGGCTCCCCCTTGAGATGCCCAAGTGCAATGCCTGCTACATCGCGAAAATATTAGGGTTCTGAGGGCAGACATGTCCGCTGCCCCAAACACTTATTCCGTGTCAGCCGACCCCACCATCTGGGCGCGAACGGGCCCGTACAACATCCCCCGGCAGTTCTCACCAGCTTCCACTTGGGATGCGGCCATGTTTGTTACACCGCGGTGATCTTGAGGCTCTGAAGAGGAACGTGTCCGCCTCCTTGGACGGCCATTCTACCTGAGACGCCCCAGCAACCTAGGCGCGAAGTTGCCCGTGCAATACCTCATGCCCGGTTCCTCATTGGGATGCCCAAGCGTCATGTTTGTTGCATCGCGATGATCTCGTGCGTCTGAGAAAGCACACGTCCACCGCCCATGATGGCCATAGTACGTGAGACGTCCCAGCAGTCTTGACGCAAACGGGAGTATGGGTGAACTTGAGTACGAGGGAACTCGAGTAGGAGTGAGTCCAGGTACGCGCGACTCTGAGGATGGGTGGTCTGATTGCGCGTGGGTCATAGTAACTCTGACCATGGTCGAATGCGTGTGTGTGTGAGAGAGAATGAGTGGTGTTGGTGTCAGATGGCTTCAGTATGAGTGGGTCGCAGGGACGGGGCGGGAGTGATTCGGAGAACTGCAGATAACAATACATAGCCCCCACGATCAGGAGATGGACAAAAGCCCGTCCTGATTCTCCCACGACGATGGATGCTCGGGCCCCGCCAAAAGGGGAGGCCCCTCCTCCACCCCATCCACTCCTTGACTGGCCCGTGCAGCAATCCCGTCAGGCGGCGGCGGGTCCCCGGCAGGCGGCGGCGGCTGGGGTGCGGCGGGCGGCAAGGGCGAGGCCATGCAGGCGCTCGGCTACGCGCCTGCCGCGTGGGGCAAGGGCGGCAAGCAGGGCACGCCAGGGTCGCGCCGCCGCCGCCGCCGCGGCCGCCGCCCAGCGATGCTGCCGCCGCGGCTGCCACGCGTCCGCCAGTGCCGCAGGGTGCAGCGGCTGCGGAGGGCAGTCGCGGCGCCGCCGTCGCTGCCGACGACGACGACGGCCCCTCGCTCGAGGCTCTTTGAGAACATCAGAGGAAGGTCCCCTCGTCGCCACGACTGGACGCAGCCCAGAAAATCGGCGCGCTTGCACCCCAGGAGGGGTCCAGGTCCGATTTTGAGCTGCCGCCGTCTCATATCACCCTGCTTCGAGGATCAGGGCTGCGTGGATGTGTTCCCGGAGGTGCTGTGTTTTTGTTTTTTGGGGGGGGGCACGGATTTTCCAGAGGTCTTGGCCCTTTCCTTTAGGGGTGGCTTTCCGTCTTGGAATCGGTTTTTGACGGTCCGGGTACAGGCCGGGGGGAAGCGAGAACGGCGATTTCGTGTCTCAGTCTCGTTTTGGTCCCAGTCTCGTTTTGGTCCCAGCTTTCTTGTGTTCGTGTCTCGTCTTGAATAGAGCACTGTGGTATCCACTCCTTAGTATCATCTCTCCTCCTCCTGTGTTGCTCCTTGGACGGCTGCGAACTCCGCGATTGTCGCCACTTTCGTAGGCTCATGGGAGCCACAGAGGAGTCGGTGAGTACGCGCATCCAGCCGAGACCTCGCAGCTCCCTAGGTGGTTGCGAATTGCGCAACCATCGCCACTTTCGTGGGCTCCTGGGAGGCACGGCGGAATAGACGAGTACGCGCACCCAACATAGACCTCGCGCCTCCCTGTGTGGCTGCGAATTGCGCAACTGTCGCCACTGTCGTGGGCTGCTGGGAGGCACGGCGGAGTGGGGGAGTACGCGCATCCTGCCGAGACGTCGCATCTCCCCGGGTGGCTTTGAACTGCGCAACCGTCGCCACTGTCGTGGGCTCCTGGGAGCCACAGAGGAGTCGGGGAGTACGCGCACCCAGCCGAGACCTCGCGGCCCCCCTGTCTGGCTGCGAACTGCGCAACCGCCGCCATTGTCGTGGGCTCCTGGCAGGCACGGCGGAGTAGGGGAGTACGCAGACGGGGAGTGCGGCTCCCTGGGGGGGGGGGGGACTACGCAATTGTTGCCACTGTCGTGGGCTCCTTGGAGGTCCAGCGGCGCAGAATGTCCTTGCAGCGTGTTCGTTTGTATGGAGCGTTCCTTCAAATAGTCGACTCGTGTTGAGACGTGGTTGAGCACGTCTGGGGTACTTGATTAGCACGTTGGGGGTCTGGATTCGAAGTTCTTCGAGACGGATCACGAAGGAGAGCTTCTGGGGAGCCACGATGGGCCACCGATTTCGAGGGCCGCAGGCTCCCTCAGCAGGCGTTCGAAGCAGTACGTGGACGGTCAGGAACTGTGGCTCAGCGTGTCGCGCCGCCACTTCTGGCCCACCACGTCTCGGCGCGACACGCTATCCACGTCCCCATGCCGCAGCGTCAACCTCCTTTGCCGTTCCCAGCCTTCCGCCCCGCGGGGCCGAGGCGCACGATACCCACTCGCAAGGCATGGCGTGTTGCTGGGGCCGCCGCAGCGACACGCTAAGCAAACGACCCCGATCCCGACCGTCTGTATCACCCTTACAGGCAGGCTGTTTCTGGGGGGGGGGGGAGTCGCGTCGCAGATTCGTCCAGCTTCTCTGCCCACGCACCTCGTGGGTGCAGCTCGCCCCGAGCCCTGCTGCCTACTCGCCCACCGTTGTCTCTCTCTCTCTCTCTCTTTCTTCCTCGCCTCCTGCAGCCCAGACGCCGAAGTGAGGACCACTTCGGGCCCGGGAGGGGCCCTGGCTGTCGGGCCGCTCCTCAGATTCGGTTCGCGGGGCCCGTTCGCGACAGAGGCTGGCCGTGGCCTGAAGCGCCTATGCCCAGGCGAGTTGTCCTGGTCAGGGAAGCGGGGGAGCTTGCAGTGGGACCAGACGCTGAGGAAGTCCTGCCTCTCGGGGGCGGTCTTGGGAGGCCTGGAGGGCCACTTGGGGCCCCTCTTGGCGCCATCTTGGGGCCTCTTGGAGGCATGTTGGAGGCCATCTTCGGCCAAGTTGGACCGCCTCAGGGGCCATCTTGGAAGCGTTCGATCAAAGACGAGGGGTACTAGACTAAGTATTGCCTCCGGTTGGCCCCAAAGCAGCCTCTTGGGGGGGCCTCTTGGAGCGCTCTTGGGGAAGTTCTTGGGCAGTCTCGGAGCCGTCTTTGGGCTCCCTTGGGCCTCTCTTTGGGTTCTCTTCGGCCCTCTTGGGGCCATCTTGAGGCCTCAGAGGGCAATCGAAAGACACGAACGACATTACCTGTTCTTCAGTATTTGAAGGGTGTTGGCTTCTTGACAGCTTCCTTGGGAGGCTCCGTGGCCATGTGGAGCCGTCTTGGGGCGGTCTTGAGGCATCTCTCGGAGCATGTTGAAAGACGTCTTGAGCCAGCTTAAGGCATCTTGAGCGATTTGGGAGGTCATCATAGGCTCTCTGAGGCCCTCTGGGGGCCATCTTGGGCCATCTCGGACGCTCTGACCACTCGCGCCCCCCCCCTCCAGACCCAGGGGGAGGGGGGAGGGGCCAAGGCGCCTGTCCTAGACGCAAACTGCTCGGCTCGCTCCCACCCGCTCTCCCAAGTACACGCTGGTCGATGAAAGTAGGTATTTCTGGATTCCCAGATTCCAATCTATTCAGCAGCCTTCGTCCTTCAAGAGTCGAGCAGCTGTCCATCTCCCTTCCGCTTCGGGGGGCGGGCGAAAGCCCAATCTACTTCCAACGCCTTCCTGCTCATGCTTGTACCCACTTTGTCCAACCGACGGGCACTCTACTCAGCATATTCAGCAGTCGTCGTTGGATGGGCAGCTACTGGGAACCAAACCAGACCTCAGGTGCGCGACACTTGGGTGAGGTTCGGTCCTTCCCCCAGACGCACACTGCTGGGCTCACTCCCACCCGCCCTCCCGAGTACCCGACTCAGCAAATTCGGTGGTCGTCTTTGGATGGGCAGCTACTGGGAGCGAACACATACCTCGGGTGGCGCAATGTGGGGCGAAGGAGGAGGAGGAGGAGGAGGAGGAGGAGGTTCGCCACGCGTGCCAAGGCGCGCCACGCGCTCCAGGGCGCGGCAGAGGCTCCCCATGGGCCCACCACGCGCGCCAGGCACGCGGGGTGCGCCAGGTGCGCCACGTGCGCCACGTGTGCAGGGCTCGTTCCGACTCCTCCGACTCGATTCGGCTCGATTTCGATGGCTGCCGATCCCGATGTTCGGTTCGGCTTCGGATTCCGATTCGGGCTCTGGTTCTTCGATGGAGGCCTACTAGACTGCCGGCTTCCGCCGATTTGACGTCCCCAAACTTCGTTGCCGAGTCGGTTGCCGATTTCCGCCGAGCCGATTCGTTTCGATCGCCGATCCGAATTATCGATTCGATTATGGGCTCGCATGAGTGTGCCGCATGCTTCAGCCGCGCCAGGTGCGCCCGCACACATCGGGAACATGTTGCCCCCCACCACCATGCTGGTCGAAAACCACAATCGCGGCAGGGTGGCCATCATGATGTCTGGTTGGCCTTCGCGCAGCAGGCATTATGCTAGCACCCCCGCCGCCCATTGTGTTTGCTTACCCGCGCACGATCCAGGTTTAGCCGCGAAGTGCAGTTTGTATTGATGTGTTTGAGAGGGACGGTGGCATTGTTTGAAAGAGATGGCGGCAGGCCATATGCTGGTACCCACGCCGCCCCTGTCAAACATTACCCGAGACGTACCAAACCCCTCTTCAACGCGAGTCGACTATTCAAAGGAACGTTCCATACAAAAGAACACGTGGCACCGACACTCTGCTCCGCTAGATCTCCCAGGAGCCCACGACAGTTGCAACGATTGCGCACTGCACTCCCTCTCAGGGAACCGCGAGGTCTCGGCTCGGTCTGCATGCTCCCCCATTCCGATGGGCCTCCCAGGAGCCCGCTACAGTTGCGACGGTTGCGCAGTTCGTACCCAACCAGGGAGCTGCAAGTTCTCGGCTGGGTGCCCGTGCTCCCTTGATCCGCCGTGCCTCCCAGGAGCCTGCGAAATTAGCGACAGTTGCGCAGTTCACAGCCACCCAGGAAGCAGCGAGGTCTCGTCTGGGTAATTACGTGTAGCCCCCCCGACTCCGCTTCGCCTCGCAGGATCCCACGCAAGTGGCGACAGTCGCGCAGTTCGCAGCCACACAGGGAGCCGCGAAGTGCGCGTACTCCCCTACTCCCCCTTGTCTCCCAGGAGCCCACGACAGTGGCAACGACTGCGCAACGTGCACGCCCCAAGGGAGCTGCGAGGTCTTGGCTGGATGCGCATACTCTCCTACTCTGCCGTGCCGCCCAGGAGCCGTCGAAAGTGGCGACAGTTGTGCAGTTCGCAGCCACCCAGGGAGCAGCGCAGCAGTAGGCAGGATGGGGGGGGAGGAGAAGGAGAAGGAGTGAACACTACAGTGCTCTCGTCAAAACGCGAACCCAACACATGAGGGTTGGGAAAAACAATACGGGGTGCTCGCGGGGCCCCCGAACATGGCCCAAGGTTTTGCCGCAGAGTGCACTTTGAGTTGTTTTTGTTACCATGGGGGGGAGGGGGCCTCATCGTTCCGAACTTGTCGCCGGTCGGGTTGGGGAGGGGGTGCGTATGTCGCCGCGCCGTTTGGTCCGACGCGCGGCCTTCGCCTTTGGGAGGGCGCCTCGGCCACCAGGACAAGCTCCGCCTCGGACGCAAGGTTCGCCGTGGGTTTGCCGTGGTGCCGGCGTCGTCCATTTGGGCGCGGGGCGCAGGGCTGCTTGCCGTGGGCTTGCCGTGGTGTCGGCTTCGTCCACTTGGGCGCGTCGAGGACAAACGGGGCGGCGACATATTGATAAGGAGC